CGAGAGCAGTACAGTTGTCAGGGATTTCGTTTTACCTGACTCCGCAACCACGCTAAGCCTTGGCATCTTCAATCACCTCATATACATGTGACGATTGGACAAGGAGTAAAGAACACCAGAGAATTGATGACTTTGAACGGCGGTGTTAATGAAGAACATCAAACATACACAGACGGTCAAAAGAACAATAAAATCTGTCTGGTCTGACGGTAGCCAGAACACTCAGTGCTCAGAATCCACAACACAGCTGACCCTCCACCAGGTTTTCAGAGGCTGTAAATCACATTGAAGGAGACGGCCCCTCTTTCTCCAGCAAAGGACCAGCACCGTAACTTTCTCTAGCCTCCTTAGCAGGAGGAGCAAAACCCTGGTGAAAGACACAGCACTTGGTAAAAGTATAGGCTCAGCATAAACAAGAGACGAAGACCCAGAATGAGACAGCCTGGCAGCTACAACCACGGGCTCAAATCAAGCACTGCAGCTTGATAGATCACTGGGAACGTAATCTGCCACAGCGGCGCCTATCAGCCTGGCATTTACACTTTCATACGTGTCAATCTCTCACAGGGACCGTGATCAAACGGAAACTCCCAGTCTCCGCTTTAGTTTCTTAGCGCTGCTCTACCAGAAATACAAGGGAGGAGCTCCCCAAAACAGGACTTGACTTTCTCACACACAGTCTGGGTTAGAAGTGCAAATACCTTTAGAAGGAGACTGTCTTCTTCTTTCTTGGCTGTTGGGGAAAAGCCCTGGTCTTGTTCCCGCTTCTGTTCCTCAGTTTCTCCTTGTTTGTGTGCTAACCGGCTCCTTTTGTATCCCATAAGGGACTGGCCGAAGAGTGTATCTTCTTGGGAATACTAAGACATACAGTCTTCATTAATTAACAACGAAAACACCCACATGAAATTACATCCACCTGTGTAGGAGTTAGAATTAATAACACGTGTTTTTAGAGCGAGGGGACTCACTTTAATCAATATCAATCCCTAAACCTGCTTCAGCCTTATTGGTTTCAGTCGAGAGCAAGGTATTCTGAATTGCTATCACTTGGGACTAAATACGGTCTCAGCCAGCACTCTCTCTTCAGGAAACTTATTAGTAAGCTGATTAGTTTATACCTTCACCTCCTCCCATAGTATAATTTAAACACAATGAAATATCTGCAAGGATCTGTTAAAGAAGGAGCTGGACATGGGATGCGGTTGAGGGGAGAAGAGGAAATGGATGGCTAGATCATGAACTACATCGGGACAGATGAAGGACTGTCTGAAAGGAATGGCTGATCACGCGTGTGGATGACAAAATCTGGAGCAAGGGCTGCACTGCAGAGTGAACTGGGGAAGGTGGAAGGTCGGGGAGCGAGGAAAATGTGCATCAGAGAATGAATGAGAACCCAACCTTTCTACAAACACTCATTAAAATCGTAAGAAAAACGTCTAAGTTGAATCATTTCACGTCTCTGCTCAAAGTGAAAGCAACTTCCCAATGAGCTCTCGTGGCCTAGTGGCAAGAAGCTGCACTGCAGTCCCAGAGGTATGCAGTTTGAATCCACCAGGTGCTCTGCTGGAGAAGGCGGGGCAATCTCCTCCTGTACCAGTCAGAGCCAATTTGACATTATATACAAAGTGGAAGCAGCTTCCCTGTTTGCTTGGAAAGATAAAAACCAAAACCTTCCAGCATTTCCCGTAGCATACTGGATCTTAAATGACCTGTCGTGCTTTAACTTCACTGACAACCTCTCTTCTATCGTCTTCCTTGTTCATTCTACTCTAACCACTGTGCCAATATATTTTACATATTATTTCTACTCCTCATCCCCACATTAAAGATGATAAAGCTAGGTACAGAGAAGTAAAATTCCTTGGCCAAGGTCAACAGGAAGTGTAAAGGTAAAAACTGAATGTGTGTTTCTCGCTGAAACATGCCTTTTAATTATGCTGTGCAGCCTCACACACGCTTTCCTCTTTCCAAAAGTAGACCCAAATGGATATTGGTATTGTGTATATGACAAAGGTGATATTTTGAATCAGTGAAAAAATGATGTTGGCACAGCTGAGATTGCACCTGGGGAAAATATTAAACAGAACCTCATCATTTCTTACGTTGAGTTAAATTCCAGAGAGAGCAAAGATTTAAGCATAAAAACAAACTCCTAAAATTTCTAGAAGTCCCAAGTGAAATAATTTCTAATATCACAGGTGAACAGGTCTTTTTGAGCAGACACCCAACAACGTAAGACTAAGAAATACACCAAGGAACACGATGAATCTGCTACATTAAAGACTGCTGCTTGGCAAACACACCGTAAACAAAATGCAAAAACAAACAACTGAAGCAACCTGCAATGCATAGGTGAATCCTTCATTTGCTGAGCTGGTACAAATCAATAAGAAAAGCCAAGAGACCCGATACAAAATCAGCAGAAATGTGGACAAGCCGTTTGCAGAAAAATACAAAGACTAATGTCCTCTCACCACAATAAGCTCCATTGCACTTGAAACTAAAGAAATCTATTCCAGAAAGACACAGGGACACCATGACAACAATCCTTTTAGCCCTTCTCTCTGATCATGTAAAAGGCTCTCCTCATGCTGCTCACGTCCAGCTGAGGAAAGTATGAAACCAAAATTAGTATTATGCCGATGTTTATTTCAGTTTTAATATTCTATACATTTTAATTATTAATATTTGAACTTTTTTCTTGCTCTTCAAGTTGATCTATGATGTACTTGCTACATAACCTCTATGAATCTTTCTCAAGAAAATATTTTTTTTAAGAAATTCATTCCAGGGAAGAACCATAAATCCACTTATTTTTATATTTATGCAGATGACACAGCCTTGCTTGCAGAAAGCGAGGAAGACTTGAAACGCTTGCTGCAGATGATCAAAGACAGCAGTCTTAAATAGGGATGATAGCTCAACATCAAGAAATCTAAAGTCTTCACCACTGGCCCAACAGGCAACCTGTTGGAAGATGGAAACTGTCTGCTGTCAGGGACCTCTCCAAGAGACTGAGGAATCATATCAGTTTAAGCCTAAGATGCACGTAATTGAAGCCGTAGTCTTTTCAATTACTTGCTGTGCATCTGAAAGTTGTACAACGACAAAGGATGACAGAAGAAAAATGTACGCCTTTGAGTTGTGGTTTTGGTAAAGAGGAAAGAATATCCCATTGCTGTTGTGCTGTGCCATCGAGTTGGAAGCAACTCTCAGCTGACTCTCTAGAGGACTTTCAGAGGCAGTGAACTGCACAGGAGAACCGTGTGCCTTTGGGATTGCAGCACACCTCCTTACCACTACGTCACCCGATCTCCTTTCATAACCACCTGATGTATAACAGGGTGAAGCATTGCATGGTCTTGTGCCATCTTAATGATCATTAATTTGGCTGTCAATTTGTCTCATTGGGCATTTCCACCAATTTCACAGTCCTTCCATTATCGAGCTGACAAAGTGCTGTTTTTGTTGTTGTTGTTGTTGTTGATGCTGTTGTTGTGGTGTGACGTCGAACCGCTTGCAATTCAGAGCGACCTTATGTACAAGAGCCACGCCCCCGAGCCCGGCTCTCGGATGCCCGGATGCGGAAGAGCCCGGCCACCACGCGTCACGTGACACAGCCAGAGGGGCGGGACACTGCTCACCACTGCCGGAAGTGGTGCTGTTGTGTCAGGTAAGCTCCTCGGCCAGCCAATGGGCGAGCGCGGCGGCGAATTTCGAATGCGCCCGCGGAAGTCGGGGAGAGGTTGGGGCTGATGCGGGGTCGGAGGGTCCCGGGGAGGGTCCCGGGCCGGGGGCTCAGTCTCGGCGGCGCGGCCGCGCGGGATCGCTGATGCGAAGGCGACGGGTGACAAAGAGCACCACGTGACACCTCCCCGGGGGACGGGAACGCCCCCCCATTGGCGGAGGCCGCGCTGTCGTGTCACGTGGTCTGCGCGGCCAGCCAATGGGCGAGCGCGGCGGAGAATTTCGAATGTGGCCGCGGAAGTTGGAGGGACTGGAGC